ACATCGAGTCGGCTGTACTCGAATGGTTATCGCAACTCTCCAGCACGTACGCAAGCCTCAGAATTTCGTGCTTTTGGAAGATCGGAAGCCAGGAGTGCGTGTTTGAGAAATATGTGTCCAACAAGATGGACCAGTTGTCGGGGAGCTCCGAGCGTCCAGACTGGGGCCGAGACAAAGGCTCCTGTCGCATTGTCGTGTCTTCCAAGGGCGAGAAGACTTGAGTTGCCATCAAAATTGAGTTGATGTTGTTCTCGCCGTCTTGCGCAATAGAGTCAGATGTGCTGGGAATTGTCCCGGTATCCTGGCTAGGGTTTCGCGCTGGGGAGGTAGTGCTCGTGTTCATAGGACTTGCCATGTCAGTAGTCGTGCTGTTTTGACTGTCCTGTTCGCCTCGAATCTTTGTTATGAGAGGGATGGCTTCCTTGACTCGGGAGTCAAAGGATTTGTCAGAGTTGCCCTCATTGTCGTTTTCCAACGGTTCCGCAACAGAAAGCCACTGTTCGACATGTTTTAGCACTTCTGTCTTTCTCCAGGCGTCGACGAATCCCTCGCAGGCGTCTCCATCATCAGCCAAGGTGGTCCCGATGGCTGCCAGACGGAAGGGCGGCTTCCAGCCTTGGCCATCGAGCAATGCAGAAACCCAGGAATCAGACTCGTCTATCGAGCTGAAAATCATGCCCAGGAGGATTTCTAGGGCTCGGACATAGCCTGTTCGTAGGCCACGTTTCTTCGGTGGGTTGTAGCTGCAAGAACGCCCAGCGTCTAGACATGGTCGGCATTCTGGACGGCCACCATCGCAACGATCTTTTCGTTTTCGACACTCGTTGCATGCTCGTGTGACTCGCACCCGAGTTTTCCCATGGGCTGTCACATCGTCGGACTCTTCATCATCGGTCCTGGCTCGTTTCGTCTTTCGAGTGCTGGTAGGTCGCTCATGATCATCGTCACCTGCGGAAGTCCGGTGCCGGCGGAGAGGACTCATTGTGACATGCTGTGCGCAGCTACGAAGCTGACATCAAATTTTGTGATCAAGTCCATCGAAAGGCGGAAGAGCACCAAATCGTCATAATGGGGACGATGGGCATATTGCCATGGGCAGGAAGATGCAAGACCGGGAGGCTGCTAGTGTCAAGGTCCACTTGACCTGAATCGGACTCAATTGCATTAAAGGGGGTGCCATTTATCGAGGAGACTGCCAGAAAGACTGGGTTTGAAAATGCAAAGTTTCATTGGACGAACCAGCTCTCGATCAAAGATAGTCCCATACTCAAGTCGAGCCCTGATTAGAGCCTCGGTTTCGCTATGGGAGGCAGGCCCTGCTACACTATACCCTGAATTGCGCATAATGGACCTTTTTGGCATGAATGTGTAGATATTGCGTGTATCTCAATAAACGTGTGTGGGCGGCTAAGATCTTTGCCGCCCTCCTCCGCCGTCTGTGCTGAGCAGTCTAACGAGTCGTCGCTTACGTTGGCCTATTTTGAGATATGTAATCACGGCTACACCTGACTGATTTGAATAAGCATTTGTACGCGGGTCAGTGATTCGTCGAAGGCGTGCTACGTGCTATTAGCAGGGGGTTTCGCTTGACGGAGAATTAGGCCGATAGTGTCAGCAATCTCCACTTGACGCCAAATTATGTCCGCATACTCCGCGTTGGGAACAATAGTGTCGGCGACTTTCTCAGCGAAGATGGGATGAAATGACTGGGACAACCCGAGGCCAGACGCCACAGGCGCTATGAACAGTCGCTACTTTGCGGCTGTTACAGAGTCATCTATCCAGCATGTGTGAATAAATCAGGCTCACGAACAGCACAAGCCTATCCGCACATAATGATCCTGGTCTTTTAGATGTCCAATTCTGTCGACATTATCATGATGATCTGAGAACGCCGATACTTTCTGATTGATGTGTTGTCAGACTTGACACTTCGAGATCTCTCCTGCGTGAGCCGCATCCACCTATTGAGACCGGTGCAAGGTAAATGAATAGACACTGGACAAAGTTACCACTTATGCAGGGAGAAGTCAGAAGCTCAAAAGATAGGAGCGCACCAAGTATGCCGCCCTGCCTGTTCTCACTTCAGGGCGCCGATCTTCGGCTCCGGCATCCGAGCCAAGACCGAACTGGTCCAACAACGGCCACGGCCAAGCTGCCGCAACATATGCCCAGTGAAGTGGTCTACTCAATGGCTACAAAATAATACTAATCTGTCGTGAAAGACAGACAATGCTTCCCCATCTACCCCTCACGCGGGGACGCGGGGAAGCAGCGCGGGAACACTGAGCGGCAAAGGCTTCATCCGATGCTGCCGAGCAGCGAAGCACCATTAACATTGCTTGCTGCAATGCTAGGCTAACATTTGAAGATATCTGCGTCCTCCGAAAAATATTCTGAGTGGGATTGGTCTTTGAGTACGTCGAAAACTACTTATTCAACTCGCAAATCTGACATCATTCTCAAAATGACCGATCTGCATAGCCTCCCAGCCGGCTCACGCCCTCAGAATGCTATTCGCAACAATGGCCCCGACCACCTCGTTTTGGAGAGGCTAAAACTGAGAGAGCTTGCGGAGGGCTGGCCATCCTACAGGTATGAAGCTCAATGACCAACGCTAGTCAATCCCTGTTCTAATCTATAGTTCCCCTTCAGAGATGCTTGCGAATGGGAAAATTTCGAGTCGATTTTTCATCCGGGCGCATACGTCTACACGACTTGGTCCGGCCGAGTCCCCTTCACAGACTTCATCGCGGCGTCGAAGGCGGGAATGGATAAGGGGGCATTCATCATGCACCGGTGCCACGGCTGCAGCACAGACATCAACCCAGAGGGCACTCGTGCCGTCACCAAACTCAAAGCGACTATCACGCAGCGTTTCGATTTAGACGGCACGGAGTTTGATGTCGAGGCAGACTGTCGCTTCTGCTTTTTCTTTGAGAAGGTGGGCGACCGTTGGGGTGCGCGACTTGTGAGGCATTGGTATGAGAAGGACAAGGTCATACCGACGAACCCGGCGAAGTTCCCCAAGATAGACGAGGAGAAGCTATCGAACTACCCTCCTGGATACAAGTATCTGGCGTATTTCCAAGAGCTTACGATGGGTGTCGAGGTGTTGCTGGATTTGCCTGGCCATCGTCGGCATGTTGGCACTCGGAATCTCGAGAAACATGACCTGTTATACTGGCAGGCAAAGGATTGGGTTGATGGAAAGGACATCGATATTTAGGATAGAATTATGAAACTTCATTCCGGATTGCTTGGTGCACAGATAGAGCAATGTGCCGGTCTTGAGATCACCGCCAAAAGGGGCCTCGAGGGTAGAAGATACGGTGACGACTGAGTAATTCGTTTGTTCTAGTCTTTCCGGGACTTCGCTATCCGGAATCATCTCCATGTCCAATGTTTTCCGTGTAATTATGGTTTTTGTCATCGTCTTCTGTCTCTAAAATCATATGCATTCATTTGTATTGATTATCTACCCAAATCGAAAAAGTCTGGTTCTATGACTGCGCACAAATTGTCTACATACTGTTTACTTTTACTTGGAGGAAGCAGCTTGCTCATTTTCCTTAATCTTCGCTTGCATTGCCGTCCTCATCACCTCCACAGGCGCCTTTCTCCCCGTCCACAACTCGAATTGCGCATATGCTTGCTCCTCCAAGACATCGACACCTCTGAATACCCTCCAGCCTCCATGCAGGGAGGCCGCAAACATCATTCCTGTGACCTGAGGTCGGTAGGCCATCTCCACCAGAACCCCTGACTTAGCCCCTGAAAATAGCGCCGCAGGGATTTTCTCCGACCCCAGGTCATCGGCCGGGACACAGGCGACTACAACTCGGAGCGGTTTGACAAAAGCACCAAGACTTTTTCTGTTCGCGACAGCCTCCTCCAAAGTCTCAAACACATGAACTTCCTTGATTACTGGGAAATTGATCGCCATATCATATGCCTTCGATGCTGTGCGGTTGACGATGAGAACTTCCGAAATTCCAAGCTCTTGGATGGCAAAGCAGGCAGCACGAGCAGCTCCTCCAGCGCCTAGCACCAAAGCAGCGGACGACTGCAAATCCTGAAGTTCGCTCTTCGCTATACATCTCTTGATGCCATGCCAGTCCGTATTATCGCCGACCAATCGCCGCTTCCCGGATGTCGGGTCAGTGTCGACGACAACGGTGTTCACGGCCCCGATCTTGTCGGCGAAGTCGGTGACCGAGTCTAGTAGTCTGCCAATCTGAAGCTTGTGGGGGAATGTGACGGAGGCGCCGCCGAAGTCATCTCGGTGGATGATTTCTTTGACTGCATCATCCACGCTCACTGTCTGGTGGATCTGGTAGTGATGAGGTAGGCCGAGCTCCCTGAAGCCAGTGTTGTGCAGCGTTGGAGACAGAGTATGGGAGATGTTGTGCCCAAATATGAAATAGTTCTTCGTTGGTCCCTCGCGGGAGGAGACATCTGCGTTCATGATAGGCAAGAGGAACTGGCGACAAACAGTCGAGCGAGTTCAATAGGTTGTTGCCGGAGATTGACAAGTAAGATACCGCTAGCGCTTGTTCAAAACTTTACAGCAAGCTCTCAAATCATATGGGGAAGCTGAACGAGGACGAGTTAGATTCTTGGATGGAGATGGCCGCGAGCCAAATCATACTATCATCCGCCGAGACCCTTGACGGGGGAAGTCTTACTTGCTACAACGGAAGAGACATCTTCCGCCATTTCCGCATGACATCAACTCAAGTGACGTGTGATTTGACATCAGTGAAGACTTTTGTATTGCATTCCAAAAGAATCCTGATAGATCCGGATCGTGGAACTCAAGAATTCAATTACAAGCATCTCCCAAGAATTCTGCTCATTCCATGACGCCAGACCTTCATTCACGGCTCGATGACAGTACAGCCTCCAATAGACGACATCATCTGTATGGAATTCATCGTCTCATTCGTGCATGGATATTGGTATCTTGATCGTCTAGTTTCCCGCGCTATGTACAGTGCTCACTCAGCTCCATTACCGCCTCTCACTTTATATGCTTTCAAAATTTCGTTTCTCATGATGTTCCCGGGTGCTTTTCGAGCAGTGAAGAGCTCGAACTGTTTGATTCCCTGTTCCGGGAGAACCTTCAGTCCGTCAACAGCGATCCAGCCTTGGTCGCTCATTTCCCGAACCTGCTTGAGTAATGGTGGCTCCAACGGCATGTACGACAGCTGCACACGATGTCAGAAGTTGGTCAATCATGAAACTTGTAGAATATGCTCACCTCAATGGCAACACCTCCCGTCGGACTAGCTAGCCAGTCCGCGGGAAGACTAGTGTCTGCAGATGGTTGGCCGTCTTTCGCAAACGTCGAGATGCAGGAAACGATAATAGTAGGTCGGTCAAAGTTCTCTGGCCAAGGATCTGACTTGGACGATAGCAAAGTCATGGCTGGAATATCGGTGGTGCTGTCAGGTGTGCCTTCCGCGCTGTTCGCCGAGCTTCGGGATGACGACCGCGATTGACTTCCTCTCCCATTTTTGGAGCAATATCCTTGGAAGTGCCTGAGCATCTCCTCGGCATGCTTGAGCGTCCTATTGTGTATGAAGATATTCCGGACCCCTAGACGCAGCAAAGCGTACATCGCAGCCCGCGCCATACCGCCTGCCCCAACCACGAGAGCTGTCGTTCGTCTCTTCACACCATTGATGGGGGAGAGATTATGGCGTATGCATGTATGAATGCCAATCCAATCGGTATTGTCTCCATAAAGAGCCGCAACGGGGCCTGTTCTGTTTCGGTCGATCAGAGAGTTGATGCTTGCTGACCGGAGAGGTATCAACGTGTTGACGGCACCAATGGCCTGCGCCTCTGGGCTTGTCAGATCTACCAGTGCAAATACCTCCTTCTTGAACGGGGCAGTGATACTGGCTCCTCCAAAGTTCTCGTCCGATATCAGGTGTCTCAGGTGGTTAACTGTAGGGTGCTGAAAGATTTTGTATTCGTGAGGCATTCCGCATGATTCGAATGCAGCGTTATGCATTGCCGGCGATAGACTCTGCAGCACGTTGATGCCATAGATACCAAAGTACATGGGGTCCAGGAGGAAAGAAGAGTACAGAGCTTTTTGGGCTTCCTGGATGGTGAGGAGGGTATCGTTCAAAGGTGATGAGGTGATGGACCTCAGCAGAGGGTCGGTTACTGGGGAGAATACCTGATTCAAGTAACAGGACATTCTCCCCAGGCGGCCGGTATTATAGGCGATGAGCGGAATTTGAAAGTCTGCTGATTTGCTCTGAATGAAGTACTTGGCCGCAAAGTTGTCTGTTGTCGACTCGGCTTCTCGGCATATCCGTACGATATCGCAGCCCAAGCGTTCCGCAAGCTGTGCGTGGGCTGTAAGTGCTGGGTTGTCCCAACCGTGTTCCAAGACCGTGTTGTCGGTATATTGTCCGATGATCTTCGCCGTTCCTCTGGCTGCAATTATGCTTTTGAGAATTTGCTCGCCGCAGCTCAAGTCCACGCAAAGATACTCTGGTGCGAGTCGGAGGCCGTGATCGATGAGGCGAAGATAGTAGACCAAGTCTTGCCGCGGACAGGAGTCGTCGAACTGAACGTTGAATATGACAGGAAGGCGCGTGTATCGCTTGACGGCGTAGTACTGCCGGCTGATCAAATTGGCCACCGGCTCGTCGAAGTTGGGTGATCTGGCCCGCATCTCTCGTAGTGATATCACCAACTCTGCAACATCAGCTGTCGTGTTGATATCTCGGAGCAATGGTCCAGCGTTGTCCACATCCATCATCGGCAAAGTCAGGGAGTAGGTGAAAGGTCTGTGTTCTGGAGCTAACGATGGCGTGCCATGGCTGACGTGGTACAATCCTGATTCGTGATGGTCGCGGTTGGTGATGCGGAACAGCAGTTCAAGGAAGTCGTGCTCTACCCGCTTGAGGGCTAAAGACCTCGGAGACTGCTGGCCGGATCCAGAAACATGATCAGCTACCTGGCCGTAGCTGTCCGAGATATTGTAGAACTCGAAATTGGAAAGCGACCTATGTGTTGGCCCGCTCAAGTATATCAAGCGGCTGATGGCTTCTGTATCCCAAACCCGCAGATGTCTTTTGATTTCCTCGGCGTCTCGTAGGACGTAGATGACTGGGTGAGCCTGGGCGTACTCAGATAGCCAGGTCTGACCTGTACCCTCCACGGCTCCAGGCCCGCATGCAATGACGGCTCTTGTTGGGTTATCGAATAGCATTGCCCTCATCAATCTCAATTCCTCACGTCGATATTTCACGGCACCGTGTTCCGCCTTGTAAGCCGCCCGCGAAAGACCTGTCACCTGGAAGAAATGCTGGTCTGCGTCGAGGAGACGAAATCCGAGCGCGCCGGATGCCATGACTGCCAAAGTCGATCTTCCAGTCCCACGAATTCCTACCAGAGCAATGGATGCGTCCGGATTGTAGCCCTTCGCGCGGGGACTGAAGCCGCGCCAAGGCGTCGGCGCCGAGGACTGAGGGGGCGACATCCCTAGACTGGTGTTGTCGCTGAAGCCATGACAAGCGGACGTCCCGGGTGATGTGGACACGAACGACGATGAATTAGACATGGCTCTTCAGATGTTTCCCAGCACATTGGCCTCACGAGAGACAGTCGACCGTTCAAAAGAGTCAGGCCACGCCGGGAGATGGTGTCGGCTTCGGTCGTCGTCGCGGCATCGTTGACCGCCCTAGCACCCAGTCCTGATGTGCGACACGTCGCTTACACAAGACAAGTGATCAAGGCCACGGAAAAACATTGAACGCGGTGCTATGGGAAAAGTTGGTGTTCACGTCTTCTCCAACGGCATTTGACGTCGAGGAGGAAAATCGATACGGCATGTGGCGGGCAACCTCCCGGATGTTTCTTTAGTGGGGGCGGGGCCCGCGCCAAGTCACCGATGAGCGGAAAAGGACTTAGCCGCCGCCTCCCGGGACCCGACCCGACCGTCGAACCGATACGGAAGAAACCACACTTGGCATCATGCATGCTCCTGATCGTGGGCTTCTCTTACGATTATTTGCAGGTAATTTCGATGTGCCTGTCCTTGAATCGATCGTGTTATATTTGCCCAGAGAGATGAATAACTGTCGAACGCCAAGAAACAAGACGCTAGAACGAAATGACGCCAGTGCTGACCAAAGACACGGGCAGAGTCGGGTGTGTGACGGAAGAACTCGCGAATGCTGTGTGACTCCCATAATTGTAAAATAATGGCCCAGCTGAATGCTGTAAACATCAATCCTAGATGCCTATTCATCCAACACCTAAAGAAGAATTCGTTGGTGACAATGATCTCAACGCATGTGATGAGCGCCAGGAGCAGGGTTGGCGTTGTGGTCGCCGTACCAGCCATTTTCGCCCTCAAGCACGCGTGGGAAGTGTACGATCAGATCCGTGTCGTCGACATGCGTCGAATTCATAGCAACAACGGCATCTCTGATGCATATTGCCAATCTTCAACCATTAAAGATATCGTCAACCCGAGAAACCATGTCTCGACATCCGACTCACGATACGTGGACTTGACCTTACCGAAGAACGCAAGTAAAGTAACAGACGAACGGATCTTGGCGGCCTTCACGCATGGATTCTTCGGTGGTAAAGTCTTTGCGCCGGAGAGGATAGTTCTGACAGCTATCGGGCGGGATTTCACTGGTTTCGAAGGTGAGTCAGGATATTTTGTCTTCCGAGTATGGCTGAGTATCAAAAAGGCGTGGGAACAAATTCCGAACCTCAAAGAGTCTGGACAGTTTCGGGGGTTTCTTCCCTAAAGCTTCCTACGTTGCATTCGTTGTTGTTTGGCGCGTTTCAAGTCTGCAACATCGAGCTTCAATACGACGATAAGGACGCTGGGGACGGTCCCAGTACGAGGAGCAGCATCGACTTCGCCTACGGCAGCGACCAAGGCCGATTTGCAGGCGCTCATAGGTTTAGTGTTATACGAAACTCGAATCGATCGGACGAAATTCGGGTGGTATTCGAGAGCTTGTCATGCAATCCTACTGTGAACAAGCCCTTTGCCCCAGAATTTGCACTTGTCTTTCACCGGGTTTTACGCTATGTTCTTGTTCCAACACAGCGTCGCGAGCCTTGTGCGGGACTTGAACGGGGTATAAGGCCCCGAATTAAAAAAGAACTCGAACAGAAATGGCTCCTCAAGTAGTCCGGCTTTTAACAATGCAGGCAGGAGGCGTCATGCATGTATTTGTATTGTGTGATTGGGGGCGTGGGCGCGACAACTTGAGGCTGATTGGGCACCCAACAAGGTAGTCGCAAATACAAGTGTGCTGAAAGGCAATTTTGTGTGACCATGTATGATAGGTATTACACCTCCCAGAATCTAACTGTTTTCGTACTGAGACTATACTACCCGGCTTCTAGGATCTCTTGAGAGAAACAGCATGCCAAGGACATCTCGTCACGTCAGTAAAGACTTGGGATTTGGGAGAGTATGTACTCTTATTGAAAATGCTATGTATGCTCTCCACTACTTAAACACAATGGCCCGCCAAATGCAAGATCTAAAGCTCGCAATGCCTAAACGAAATGAAAAAGACAATTACAAACAGATTGGTACATATGAACAAGAAGTAAAAATTAGCCCCTTACTGACCGCTGTCAATGACATCGGGGACGTTGCGGCTGGTCCAGGCGCTCCAGTCCTTGCAAACCTGGTCAACCTTGGAGGGGATCTGGAACTGTCTGATCTTGTCGGGCTGGACGATGAACTGAGAGAACAGACCAGCAGAGGCGTGCCAAGCGATGTGGCAATGGAAGGGCCAGGCACCAGGGTTCTCCTGGGCGTCGAACTGCATGACCATGTGGCCGTTGGCGCGGACCTGCTGGACGTCACGACGCTGGGGGTTGGTGGGGTTGGTGATGGTTCCGTCCCAGGTCAGGCCGTCACCCTCGGCGAGGATATACATGTTGAAGCCGTGAAGATGCATGGGGTGACTGAGAGCCGTTAGTTTCAAATTGATTTTATGGGGGTACCAGGCGAGACTTACGCTGCAGGGCTGTTGTTGCTGACAATGACACGAACGCTGCCGTTGTTGGCGACGTTCTTGACATTCCAGTCAGCAGCATAGGTCAGGTTGTTCTTGTTGGTCTGAAGAAGAGTAGGGCTGTTGAAGTCGCCGCGGAAGTCCTCGCCGTCGAGAGTCCACTGAACAATACCAGAAGCGTTGCGAGTGACCTGGATCTCCATGGTCTTGACGTAGCTAGGGGTAGGGGGAGTAAGCTTCATGACTGGCTTGGTGATGGCAAGATCATCGTTGGCGCAATTGCCGGGGTCGGGAACGTTCCAGGCAGTGCTGGTGGGGTTCTGGTTCTGGTCGGCCTGATCGTAGAAGAGAGCGGCGATACCAAGAGGCTGGTTGGCCAGACTGCAGCTGGTGAGGTTGCTGCGGATCCAGTAAGAGCTCCTGGAGTTGCCGGCGTTGGCCTTGACGAGGACATCAGTGCGCTGGCCGATGCCGAGAGTGACGACCTTGGTGTCGTAGGCCTCGACGGGGACGAAATCGTTGGCGATGACGGTCATGGTGTGTCCATCAATGGAGAAACGCTGAGTACCCTCAGCACCGGAGTTGATAAGACGGAGACGGTGAGTCTTGCCGGTCTGGAACTTGAACTTGGAGATACCAGCATTGTTGGTGCACTTGGTCTTGTCTCCAGCAGCAACAGTGGAGCAGTTGAAGTTGCCCTTGCCGTTGATGAGGTTGTTGTCAGAGAAGACCAAACCGGAGGCGTTAGGGGTCAGGATATCCTCAATAATGTCGAAGTATTGCTTGTGGTACCAATCAGAAAGGAAGACGGGGCCGACATCAATGTCGTAAGCAGACTTTCCAGGGCCGTAGATGACAATTGGGCCGGTAAGACCACCGGCATACTGAGAAGAGTAGTGAGAGTGGTACCAAGAGGTTCCGTAGAGAGTAGCCTAAGGTGAGCTGTCAGTACTAGGGCATCTCACAGGCGCGAGAGTCTCACGTGGGTGGTGGGGATACATACCTGGAACTTGTAGGTGTAGCTCTTGCCGGGGGCAATGGGGCACTGGCTGATGGCAGGGACACCATCCTCCCACTGAGTGTTCTGCTGACGGAATCCGTGCCAATGCAGGGAGGTACCCTCAGGGTTGTTGTCAATGTTGTTGTGAACCGTGACCTGGATCCAGTCTCCCCAGTTTGCCTCAATGGTGGGGCCGGGGTAAGCTCCGTTCACCAGGAGGACCTGACGCTCATATCCATCTGGGGCGATGACACCTCGGCTGATGGTGAAGTCATAGTTGCGGACGACACCAGTGTTAGGCCACTGCTTGTAGTAGTTCGTGCCGTCGGCTGTCAGAGGGCCCCACGGGAAGCCGTTGGGCAAAGGGTTGTTATTCAAAAAGTTCGGAAGCTTGGGGGCATTCGGCGTGCCGAGGACGCACTTTCTGTTTAGAGCATTAGACGAAACTTATTGTTATTCAATGAAGAGTGAGGTAGCGTACCCGTTTGTCTTGTCCTGCCGCAAAGCTGCTTGGACTGTGAATAGCCACTTAAGGCTGCCTTTCATAAGGTCTTTGATGGCGACCATCTTGGCGGCGCACTAATTTGGATCAGAAGAAACGAATGTAAGTAGAGACCAAAGAAAGAATGAAGTCAAGAGCCTGAGTGAGTGACTGATGATGGATCCAAAAGCCAGGAAACCGGGTGAGCACGTTTGAGCTATATACCTGTTCGAAGGAGGCTCGAGTTCATGATAACTCGAGTCCTAATCGGATACTCAAAGGGACCGGACTGCATAATGCCGGCTTCACGGCTTCTAGAGTCGATCCCCATCCCCACATCCCAGGCTGCCGGCTCGGGAACCTCCATACTTGAACGATGTCCGTAACGAGAACAACAAGCTTGACCTGATCGGCGCCTGTACTACTGCACAGGACAGATGATTCTAAGCTAGCCTGGCGCGTGGGCTAATAATGATGCCAGCCACATGCGTAATCCCTGATATTCTAGCGTGGCTTAGCGCCAGGCTCGTGTCTTGTGCCTGAGAGTAGAGACGATTTGGGGCCAGACGTTTGGTAACTTTCGACGGAAGCCGGGTCGATTGGATGAGTTACGAAAATATGACATTATTTCCAAATATGGATGTAAGATTGTGAAGGTTTCCGAGCCGTAGAGTGTTCGTCGGAAAGCTTCGAGCTGCCATGTACCGCCTGCACATCACGCGCAGCGGTTGCCTCAGGAATTATCCTGCATTCGCTGCCTGCTATGGCCAACAGAATTTGCCAATCATCGTCATCGGATCAAAAGTTTCCAGTCTTACATGCAAAAGGGGGCTCACAAAGGGGGTTCAGGTGAACGGCAAGCGGCCGTTGGA